GTGCAACAACTCTGCATCTTTATACTACATCATCATTTTGTGTGTGTGTCTTTTTCAAGCAACCAAAAAAAATAAAATACAAGCCCTCATACATTAGCCAAAAAATTCATAAGATGGGGAATTACCTAGGCGAGAAGAAATATCACAGTTAATATAAACAAAACAAAAATCATCAAGCAGAGTTGGCTACAGTCATCCTAAAATCATTAAAGAGACGTCTCTCAGCTCCAAGAAGAGAAAAAAAAATCTGCTCAGCCAGCCAGCTGTGCAGAACTGAAATAGAATGGACTCGCCCCATGGATTCACATAGTTGCTGAAAGTGAATGTCTTTCTGTAGCTGAGCCACGAAATGTATTCCCAGTTATAAATTCCTTTCCAAGTCCTATCCCATGACTCCAGGAAGGTGTCTGCACACCAGAGCAGCTCGCAAGCCCAGAGATGTCATGTTTGCATCAGCACTGGCATGTAGACGAGTGTTTAGATGGCCCATTAAGTAAGTGCCTCTGACCAGTATGGCGTGCATCTGGTGAAGTGACAGCCCAGCCCAGCCTCTATAGTGTTGGGAAACCCCAGCTTGGCTCATTAAGGAGAAACAGGCATGATTATTATGTCAAAACACATTATTGTATTTTACTCTGCCATTGCATTTGTGTACTGGCATTGGATGGAGCTCAAGAGATGTTAGGTTATGAAATCTGCATTCCCTGCTCCTCTTTGTTTTGGAAATGTGTGTCATGATATAGACGAGGAACATCAGCTTCTGGCCAATTCTCCCCAACCCACAAATGGACTAGCCTCCTAATCAAAAATGTCTATCCCCGCTCTTTTGATTTTGCTCTGTTTTCTGAGCAAACAAGCTATTGAAAAAAGAAAAAGAAAGCATGTCCCTTTTACCCTAAACAGAAAAAGAAATGACCTTTCCCTCACATTAATTGAAAGGTGGCTGTCCACATTACTGGACATCCTTTGCAAATATCTGGACAAAAGTACAACTGGCACATTTATGAAGCCTGCAAATGATTTTAAATGGGCAAATGCTATTTTCCTTATCAATGACAGTGGGTCAGGCAGCCAGGCTCAGCACAGCACCAGAGGGGGACAGGATGCAGTAGAGAAAGTGCATTTGTGAGGAAGGCAGAAGGAGCTGTGAATATTACAATCAATCTGAAATGCAGACGCAGTGTGAATGGACAGGTGCGCCTTGAAAACTCGCTCACCAAGCCCACCCGGGCCTGAGTGGACAGCCAGTT